AGGGGGGGGGGTTCAGTCTTTATACCTGTGCTCAGACCATTTCTGATTTATGAATGGAGTACAGAATGTGCATGTGATATGGCTCTTTTTCAAACAGTTAGCCTGATCTGAAAATGCTCTGTTTTAAGGGATTTGATTTGTGAATGTTGCTCATTTTTCAACTTTGAAAGAGAAAGAAGTCCATTCTTGTTTTTATCCTTGAGGATATTAAAGGGTATAGATTTGTTCCTATTTAAGGGAGCGTTGCATCAATGAGCACTAGTTATATTTTGTTAAAGATCAGACTGTTGGAATTGCATTTGTCTCTCCTTTTTTTTCTTGTGATATTTATGCTTAGGACTGCTAAAACTTTTTTGGCATTTAAATTATCAGGGGTACCTCTCATATCGTTTGTGCCTTTGTGTGTTACACAATGATATATGTAAGTTACGAATGTATGCAGTACTCAATTTGTATTGTAACTTGAATTAGCAGGTCATGATTTGTTATTTTGCGATAAATTAAAAAGAAAACCACACACATGTTGGCATATGTGGTTCAAATATGATTCTTTTGTCTCTTTACAGGAAGTCTCTGAAACAGGCTGTCAAGAAACATGAAAACCACAACCAGACGGTAAGTCGTAAGGGTGTATTTTGTTAAAACATTTGTTTAGATTCATATGGATATCAACTCTAATATATTAACATTTCTCTATGGCAGCGGACAACAGGGTGAAAATATGCTTAAACAGCTGTCGCAGCATATAGAGCTTAATTACAAATTTCTTGTCTGCTTATGTTTCTAAGAAACTGAAAGAATGATTCAAAATTTAGAAATGGGAATGTTTTCTGGTGCTCTTGAACTTTAAAAAAATTTTTTTGGCCCAAACTTCACTTTTTAATGGTGTTCTTGCTGATAATGAGGAACCTAACACTACATAGTTCAATGCTGCCTCTTCAGGAAAGCATACTGTTTTATGTGGTAGCCCCCTTTAAACCAACAAAACTCACATGCACCCACACCCAAAGACACACATGCACATGTGTGCAACCATACACATGCTCACACACAATACAAACACATCGATTAACACCTATGAAACAAGCAGGGCTGTTTGAAATCTAATTAATTGTCTGCTGTGTGTTTCTGGCATTTGTTTAGCTGTCGGAGATCCAGGATGAGCTGACGGAAGTGGAGCAAAAGCAGCAGGAGTTTGAGGCAGAGCTTGAGGAGGAGTCACAATCTCAAGGAAGGTCACTGCAGCTGGAGGAGAGCCAGGTACACAGTTGGTCATGTAATTGATGTAATTTTTGTTGGTTGTTATGTTATTTGTCTTAACTTGAGGTGCCGCGGGTGCTCTGGAGTGGTTTGCTCCTTCTTTCCTATCAAACATGAATCATCCTTGTCTATCCTCCTTTTTTTGTGTTACTCTCTTGTAACACTTTTAATCTTCAGCACTTATATGACCTTATTGTGTTGCAAGTGTCATAAAACCTTTACCAAAACTAAAACACAGAATGTGATGTCCCTGACTTGGTTTTTGAAAAGTTGGCAAGCCTACTTTAACAGAAATGGACATGTTCTCTGCTCAGGTTCAGCAGTACAATCGTCTGAAGGAGGAGGCTGGACGGCGGGCGGCTGAATACATGCAAGAACTGGATGCTATCATCCGGGAGCAGAAGATGGACCAGGACCGGCTGGACAGTGCCCAGCGTGACATCGCGACGTACGAGGCCAAGCTGAAGCAGAAGCAACATGAGCTGGAGGAGAACAAGAACCGAGTGTCCAAGCTTGAGGACTACATCACGTGAGTAGACTTGTCTCTTTCTCTTTCTCTCTCTGTCTCTCTCTTTGTCTCTTGCTTTGTTTCTGTTTCCCTTTGTCTCTTTCTCACTCTCTCTTTCTTCCTGTTTTTCTCTCTCTCTCTCTCTCTCTCTCCTTCCCTCTCTCTCCTTCCCTCTCTCTCTCTCTCTCTCTCCTTCCCTCTCTCTCTCTCTCTCTCTCTCTCTCCTTCCCTCTCTCTCTCTCTCCTTCCCTCTCTCTCTCTCTCTCTCTCTCTCTCTCTCTCTCTCTCTCTCTCTCTCTCTCTCTCTCTCTCTCTCTCAGAGAACATGAGCCATGTGATGAAGCTGGAGGATTACATTACCTGATAAATCATTGCTCTTTTTCTCTCTCCCCCAATCCTTTCTCCGTCGTTCTTTCTTTCTGTTCCTTTCCCCCTCTCCTTGAGGCTAATCATAGATGATATCTAACCTGTGTAAATATATTCTTTAACATTACAGTACAAGTCGCTCAGCTCTTGAGGACCAAAAGAAGGTGGAGCAGGAGTTGGCCAAAGAAGTGAACGAATCGACGTACCGCATTGATGAGATCAACAGAGAGCTCGAAATGATCACCACACAGCTGGGAGAGGCCAAGGTCAGTTGCAAAGAAAATGTTGTTTTGTAGGATAAGTATTTGGATCAAGACTTAAAGTTAGTTGGATAGAAGTGTAATTTGCAGTGACAGAGAATAAGGTTTTCTTTCTGTTTTAGGAGAAAAATAAATGTAGGTTATGGACTTTAGATGGGTCAAAATAAGATTTAATAGACTCTATTGGTTTTCTCTCGGACGAAATTAATGATTTGCTTTCCTGCGGATCGAAATGTACTGAACAATCTCAATGCAGACGACCAAAGGTACAAGATAAACACATGCATATAAAAACACTTTTTCAGGACCTATGAAACAGTATAAATTCTGAAGTTGTGTCTGTGAATCATGACTATACTTTGCTTGTCTGCCTCTAATAGGTTGACAGACAGGAGTCGTCCCGGGCTTCAAGGAAAGCGGAGCTCATTGACAATCTGAAGAGGCTGTATCCTGGTGTGGTGAGTGGAAATTTGTCTGTGTGACCTTCCTTTTACCCATGTTAGCTTTGTGCTGTAAAGTGAATTTTTACGCAATTTAGCAATTGCCTTTTTAGATGTCAGTAAACCGTATTAGAGTTTTGCAGGGATTTGTTTCTTAGAATGGTTACGTCTTAGAAAATGAGATCCGTCCGAGCTGTTTCGCATATGACGTAAGTATGGGGAGAGACTTGCCACTTGTTTGATAAGTTTAAGTTGCCAAGATTGAGTACACCTGTTAAATGCATTTTTCAGGTATCTGTTATTAAGTAGGTATGTATTTTATTTTGTGTTTTAGACCATCGGCCCACATAACGTAAAACATACACATTTTACTGAAGAGACTTTTGTGAAAACAGCATGAATTATAAATGACATGCATATCAATAACAAGATGTTTGTTGGAAGGTTGTTGAAGAGTAATTGTTGCAAAGGCAATTTTTAAAATTTTTTTTGCCCAGGCTCTTTCAAAACACTAAGTGAACAAACATGCTTCTAGGTTTGTCTTTTAAAGATTGTGATCTGGGCTGACGAAATATTCTGTCTGTCATCGCCTTTCGTCTCAGAATTTGGGAGTTGGGTCTATAATTTTGGCGAACACTGAATATGTACTCAATTTACCTTAAGCTCCTTATCCACTTCACATCATGACTTGTTGTGTATTGGACAATGATAATTGGTCAGGATAGTTCTGGTATGTTCAGTAACTCTTTGTCAAAAACTCTTTCGTTGGTTAATGCTATCACATAGATGAGAAAATTATAGCAAAGGTGCTTTGATTTGCTGGTTCATCTTATGTAGATTTTAAAAAAAAAATGATAGTAACCTTTTCGACTAGCTAATCCCATCTTGTCATGACCCAGATAAATTTAGATAAAATTCTTTCATGGTCTTCATCTCTTTTGCCTGCTTTTCTCTGCAGCACGGACGTCTGCTGGACCTGTGTGAGCCGAGCCACAAGAAGTACCAGATTGCCATTACCAAGGTGCTTGGAAAGCACATGGACTCGATCGTCTGCGACTCTGAGAAGACAGCCAAGGACTGTATTCAGTACATGAAGGAGCAGCGTATCGAGCCTGAGACATTCCTGCCCTTAGACTACCTGGAGGTCGGCTCCATCAATGAGAAACTGAGGTGAGCAGACTGTCACGGCTCCCTGGACAAGAGAAGAGAAAGAGAAGACCGATTTGATATTATAGTGGAACCTGCTCAAATGGCCACCTGTCAAAGACATTCGCCCGCACAAATGATCACTTCCCACTTCCTCGTTGCGTTTTTTTCTTTATTATAATGACACTGCCGAAGACGTTCACTTGTTTGTAACAACTACTTTTCTCCTGCACAATAGGTGGTTGTCTTGGACAATTTCAACAAGAGAAAGGTGTGTACCCCCCGGGGCAGTGCCACTGACTGAAGTGTCTTTAGGCCATTCCCAAAGGGGGGACATTTCTCGTTCAAGCATAGGAGAATTGTAAATGGGCTGACTCATGTCACGCTCATAACTGTGCCTGATCTACAACAGGGAACTGCTGCTATTTCTTTCCTGATCCTTACTATTGTCATTTTCCTCTACTTCTTTTGTATGTTTGTCACTCCCTTGTGACCTGATATTTTGGGGTGCCTTGATAGTCGAACCAGACCTTGTGCTGTTGAAGCTAGAGAGGTGAGCAGTCTAAGTCTGATTTCCTGTAAAGACTTCTCTGTTGACACCCACCCCTTGGCGCTCATATGACCTTATGCAGTTGCAAGCACCGTAAAACCCTCTACTATAAAAAAAGAAAAAAAGAAAGGTGTGTTCTTTTCTGATATTGATGGGGATTCCTGCATCATGTATGGGAGGCACACGCCTTTAATGACATTTATTTTAGACAAAATAAGGTAGGGAGTTAGTTTTAGTTCTGTTTCTGTGTTCATCCTTACTTCTTCCTTGTGGGCACACATACACGCACACGCATATATACCTCACCCCTTTCCCCAGTGCCTGCCTGCCAACCACGTGACAGACAGCTTTAGTTGCTTGATATGTACTTTATGAGTTGAATGGTATTTTTTGTTGTTGTTGTTGTTGTACACTAGGGATAGTTTGCTCCCATCATATAGATTGTTTGAGTTAAAGAGGCCTTTGAGTGCTAGTATGGCAATTGAGGCCATCTACAAAACAGGCCTATTAATGCGAGCAAAAAGTGAGATTAGCAAAAAGAAGAGAAGGATAATTATGAAGTAGTTCATGACAACATCTACCAAGTACTGCAAATCTCTTAACTGAAATAATGATTCTGTTTCTGACAGAGACATCCGCGACCCGAAGAACGTGAAGCTTGTCATCGATGTCATCCACTACGACCCTCCTGTCATTAAGAAAGCCCTTCTGTTTGCCTGTGGCAATGCCCTTGTCTGTGAGACCGTGGAGGATGCCCGTAGAGTGGCCTTCGGCGGTGTGGAGAGACAGAGGGTGAGCTCATTGGTTGACATGTCTACCTTTTCGTTTGTTGCCTGTCTTGATTAATTTTTTTTAGCTTGGTCCCAAATTATAATTTGTATTTTTCGGTGTGTTTTTTTTTAAGGTCTTTGTCAGCATGCAGGTGGCTAGAAGGTGCCTTCGGTAGATCCTGCTTCTTCCTTTTCTCTCTGTCGTTTCTATCTGTTTGTTTAAATTTTCCCTTACGTTTAACGACTGTTTTTGTGGGGATGTACTTTTTTACTCAAATTTAGTCGGAACTTGTAGTTCTACTATTTATCAGGTGGAGTTTTTTTTTTCATCTTGTTTCATGTGTGCTTTGTTTCTGGGCCATAACTCATAATGAATTGGAATTTGCATACTTCTTGTAAGAGTACAAAGAGGATACCGTAAATGACTTTGAGTCTGATCTGACCCCACCCTCAAAGTTTGCAAGAAGTTTTCTTTTAATTGGTTTTTTATCACATTTCTTTGAAAGGACATTACTGGTTCTTCAATGTCCCCGTGGCTCTGGCTTGTGTCATTTCAGAATAGTTTGTCTTTAAAAAATGGCTTGTGTCATTTCAGAATAGTTTGTCTTAAAAAAATTTTGTTTCCTTTTGAGTGTTTTTATAATTACTGGGGGGTTTTTGTGCTGTGTTATTGCATTCAGGTTGACAACATGAAAGATTGACATTGTTGAATAATTTTGAAAAACCTATTTGTTTTGCAGTCCGTTGCACTGGATGGAACAATCTTCAACAAATCTGGAATTATATCTGGTGGTGCAAGGTAAGAACTGTTGGTAAATATTATAAAAGACAACAAATTCAAAGTAGGCTATTTTTAGAATGTCTGTCGTGTCAAGAAATACATATCAGGAAGCCAGTGAAAACTGTGTAGCATTGTTGAAAAATGAAGTGGTTGTACACCACATCAGTGATTGGTGCTAATTTATACAAAAGTGGGTACGTTATCTTTGGCAATGAACTTAATTCGGTTGTGATAATGTTCGTCATAGTGATAGTGGTTATGTAACACTCTTCTTTCAGTTTTAAGTCAGTTGCATTTTGGCTCCTTTTGTCTTTGCATTCTTGTCATAAACTTTGCTCTTATGAGTGGAGCAGTCTAGCAGCAGTGTACACACTGAACAGAACATTTTCTTAACAGAGGAGGAAAAAAGACATCTCTAGTATGCCTGTAGAGGACAGCACTTTCTTTTTTTTAAATTTTGGGTGTGTGTAAAGAGCTGAGAATCGTTTTTTGAATTTTCTAGTGACCTGAAGGCGAAAGCCCGTCGTTGGGACGAGAAGAGTTTGAGTCAGCTGAAGACCAAGAAGGAAAAGTTGATGGAAGAGCTGAAGGAACAACAGAAGCGCAAACGCAAGGAGTCGGAGCTCAACACCATCCGCTCGCAGATCAAGGGCCTGGAAACAAGGCTCAAGTACAGTGTTACTGATCTGGAAAACACTGTAAGTTTTCAACTCTTTAAAAATGTTTTTTTTTTCTTCTTTTTTTGTTGTTGTCTATTTTAAATTGGTGCAATGTGAGCCTTAGTTATTTGACTGTTGAAATGTTTCTTACTGGTATTTACACATGTGATACTTGACTTTATTTTTTTCAATAACCTGATGACGCTCATAATATGACCTTAGCAGTTGCGAGCGCCGTAAAACCCTATACTACATACATAACCTGATGTTGGTTGCTTTTTTCAAACATGCCACTTGATAAACTTTTCAACGTAATAAGTTGTATGCATACAGGATTGGTATCATCGAAATCCATGTGAGCATGGATTTTGATGGAAATGTCAGGTCTTCAAGTATTTTATAAGTGATTATTTTACTTTTCTTGTTGCTCACTACAAAGCCTTTAAATTATACATTTGCTCGTGTTGTCCAATGTGTCATCTGATTATGTGATATCCTGGGTTTTGTTTCAGAGGAACAGAACAATCCGGCACAATGAGAACCAGATAGCTGAGTGTCAAATGAAGATTGAAAAGGCTATGGTGAGTTTTCTTGTCTCTTTTTGTATTGAGTACAGAGGTCTTTGGTCAGCCTGACGTGAAACTTATGAACGAAGATGAGCTTATACTTTTGAAGAAAAAAAGAAGAAAATGATGATAAAGTTTTATTCTTTATAGTGATATGGTGTGCTTTCTGTTAAAAACATTAAACGCTCTTGATGGAACTAAAACAGACTTTTTTAAAAATTGATCAAATTAAGGGAGCTATGCTATATATTTGACTATTGCTATGGTTTTGGGGAAGGCTGACAGCTATATTTACTCCACTAAGAGTGTGACAGGATTTTGACAAGATGTATTATTATTTAAGGGTTTTGATCTGCTCCTGGGTCCATGGGGATTGTATAAAAAAAAAGAAGTTCTGTGGCCTCTTTCATGTGTTATCTAAAATCAAAGTTTGAACATTGAACTGGGAGTTTAGAGTCCTTGATGTGAGGGTAAATTGATATCTTGGAGGGATTATTACTCCGAGAAATTTTATTAGGAGAGTGAATGATATAATATTATGTATGTCTCAGGGACAAGTTTGGAGAATGGTACTAAAGAGTTAAATGTTGTTTTGGGTTCCAGCCGGACCAGCAAAAGTTTGAGCGTAGCATTGATGCTCGTGAGGTGGACATTAAGCAGCTGAGGGATGAAATGAACCGCGTGGAAGATGCTGTGTTCAAGGATTTCTGCGCTGTCATTGGTGTACCTAATATCAGGTTAGTTTATGCTGAGTTTGATATGTGTAGCACTTTGATTGGATGGGTGGAATTGACTAAATTTCTTTTTTTTTTTTCATTAGATTTGTTTTATATTAATTATTTGTAAGCAAGTGAAATGTTGCAGATGGCCTTCTTTGGAGCTAGAGAGTTAGCAGAAAGGAAAGGACAAGAAAATTTTGAAGTTTCTCTCTTTTGAAGTTGTTTAAAAAAAAAATTCTGCTTTTTAGTTCCCCTACTAGATCTTATGTTGACTGAGTTCCTCAGTTCACATGGCAACTAATTTTTATGCATACATTGTTCCCCTTTTTCCATATTTTATACATACAAGGAGACACTCACCCCTGCTCACTCTTGTTCACACAAGCACATGCCAATGCAGGTGGTTGTAAAGTGTCAACAGTAGTTCCTAAATCTTTTTTTCCCCCCCTCTCATATTGTTTCTGTTGGTCTATCAAGCTTTTTCCTGCTGTAAATGTTTTTTATTGAGTCAATGTCTTCTCATATCTCATGTCTCATATCTCCAACTAAACTAAGTAGGTATCTGATAGCGTCAATTTAAAAAGAGAGACAGGACTTACGGTTGAACGTGAAAAAAAAGAAGCATAGTTAATTAATTATCCTGTTGTTGTGTTTCAGACATTACGAGGAGCGGGAGCTGAGGGCCCAACAAGAGCGAGCTCGGAGGCGCATGGAGTTTGAGAACTTGAGGCACAAGTTGGAGAATCAGCTGGAGTGTGAGCGCTCGCAGGACACAGAGGGTGAGAGGAACTGTTATGCTCTGGAGACAATACTGAGAAATATTTTTGTTTAATTTTTGCGGACAGTGATGACATGGACAATGACTCTGGTTATTCTGATCGGAAGCCTTCAGATCGAGAAGAAAGTGATGCAGAAAGTTATGGTTGATTGAGGTGCAATTTACTCTGTAAGTAGATCTAGATCTAATCTTTTATCTTCATAAGGAATGCTTATGAAACTGTGGGTCATCACTTGTTCCACTGCTGAGCCCTAAATGGCATCAGAGCTACTCTTCTCCCTCCAAGACCTAACATTGACAACACACTCTATGGAACATTATAGCAACTGCAGCAAACCTGTACTTTTCACTACATGGCATTGGACTGAAGGGCAAGGGCCCAGCTAACCCTGGGTGGATAACAACAACAACATCTTCGTAAGGAACCAAGTTTGGAGAAAAGCCTACTGTTACATTATTGATTAAATGTAAATGACCCAAAGCAAAATATTTTTAAAAATGAAAATGTGTTAAAGCATAAGGAAACATATTCTAAACAGTTTGGTGAGTCGGTGAAGCTTCAAGTCTATACTAGGTGCTGAGTTATTCATATAAGAGTAACACATGTCTCATATAGTCAGAAAGTGGGTGGCAGCTCTAGTCCTTGGGAGCTGAAAGTCAAATGTGAGGCCGGTTCAACAGATGATACACCCCTTGCAACAGTTTAAGTTTATGAGGCAGCATAACGATGTAAACAATATGAAAGTAGTAAGACTGAACAAGCGTTCCAATTCAACCATGTGTGCTGTGATTGTCTCGCATGATGTGTGTAAGAAAGCAACACACCTTGCTTGGTTTTATCAATTACAAAGCCAGCACTTCTCATCAAATTCTCTTTATTTGGGTTTGATTTCATTACTAAAACAGTAAGCATTCAAGAGATGTGACTCTTTTTTTTTTCTAAACTTTATAGTAGCTGAGATACCAATGAAACGGAACTCAAGTTTTAGCAGACGTAGAATTTTTGTTCACGTTGCAGTGGGAGGGAGACTACAGAGATGTAAAGACTACAGCACAGTCAAGTGCACTGTGTTAAAAAGTACATTTGATTCCGTAGGTTGTAAAACTGTTCTTTGTTCAACACCTATCTCGTGCCCGGCGTACAATAGCAAAATTATCCATTCCTTTGACAGCGCTAGCTGTGGTTCCTTGATATCAATGCCTTTTCTCCCTTTTTTCTACAGAACTGGTGAAAAAATGGCAAGAGCAGGTGAAGCATAATGAAAAGGAGGTGGAACGAGTAAAGGAAGAAGAGGCCCGCCAAATGCAGGTGAGTCTGTTCTCTCTTTATTTACTTTACATGCGTTGTTGAAAATATGGGAAATACCCGTGAGGTAAATATTTGTAGGTTTGCTCCTTCTATCTTATCCAACATGTATCGTCCTTATCTCACCTCCTCTTTTTTGTGTTTGTTACTCTCTTGTAACGCCTGTAGTCTTTTGCACTTTTATGACCTAGTTGTTTTGCAAGTGCCATGAAACAACTCTTACTAAAAAGCAATTTTCCTCATTACTTTGTGACATTGATAATGTGTGAACGTGTTTCTCTTTAACTTGAGGATTATTTTTCTGTTTTGCCTTTGCTAACACAGAATTATTGTTATTGTGTCTTTGTACTTCTCTCAAGCTGAAATTTACTGAGCAATTTTTTTGGGTCTGCTGCAAACTACCTCCTTTTTTATTCTTTCACAGATCATCGAGGAAGAGATGCAGAGACAAGAGAAGCTGAAGCAGAACAAACTGACGTGCAAGTCTCAGGTGGACGACGCCGAGGGGGCCATCACAGAAGTGCGCAAACGTCTGAGCGCCCAGCAGAAGGAGATTGCGGCGGTGCAGAAGGGCATCAACGCCCTGGAGGTGAAGCTGGAGCAGAAGAGAGCTGACCGACACAGCCTGCTCAAGTCGTGCAAGGTGAGGCGTCGCTTGTGGGACACAGAGCTATCGTGTTTTGTTGTTGAAAAATATTTGTGAGGTGCACCGTCAAGATGAGTTACTTCTCGCAATCCATGAATGTTGCCCGAAATTGACAGTGGGGGTCATATTTGCAGACTTTCATTTGATGACATATTTTTCAAGTGTAAGATGTTTAAGAAAAAAATGATTTCATACTTATAAACTGAACAAGTTCCGCCTATACATTTGACATATTTATTTCCATATATGGCTAAAATCTTAGAAGTAACTAATTTTGTCAGCAAGTGTGTTACTTTTGAGCTATTATCAAAAGTTTGTTTGTAAACGTTGCGACAACCAAAGTTTTCAAAAGGAACATTTTTATGCTTTCATAACTTTACTGTGCCCAGTAGAGTAGAGGGTCTTTTTTTTTCTTATTTTCATGTTACTCCATAAGAAAATGCCCTCGTCAATTTACACACATTAATAAAGATGTTGCCATGGGTTCTGATGGATACTTTTTGTTTCATTTCTCAATTAAGAAGTCAGTTTAGACAAAATGATTTCTCTTGCATTTTATTAATACACAAAACATGCCACTCCCTTAAAATAGCCATTAACTCACTTTAAAAAACCAAACCCAGGTGTTACCTCAATCGCTGTAGAGGTGATTTTGTACTTTCCCACCGCATGGGTATGTTTACTGGCAATTAAGCAGGACTTTCAAATGAATTTTTTCTGTGACAATGTTTTTGTATTGCTTGCGGTCAGGAGTAGAACTTTTTTTTTTTTTTACCGCAGCTTTTGATGAAGTAAGATTAAGATTACACATTCATAACTGTTTTTGTTGTTGTTGGGTTTTTTAAATCAACAGTTCAAAGAAAATTTTTTTGTTCTAAAGGTAAACCACTTTTTCCTTGCCGCCATACAGATGGCATCTCATTTTATCTTCAAAATGTCTTTCGCCGCAGATGGATGACATACGAATTCCCATGCGACGCGGCACCATGGATGACATCTCACAGGAAGGAGAGGGTGGGGACGGCAGCCAAGAGACGCCCATGGATTCTCTCAGCAGTCAAGGAGCGAAGGCCATCTACGAGAGAGAGGCCAACCTTGACATTGATTACTCTGTCCTCAGTGAAGACCATAAAGAGGTACCTATGCTTCTTTCTCCGGCATTTGTAAAAGGGTTGGGGCCGTTTTAATCTCACAGGAGGGAATGTTGTGTGGGGTCGATATCCTTTGCAGAATAGGTTGTTATATCCTTCAGTATCAGCTCGTTTTCCTTATAGAGGAGGTGCAGTTGAACCATCTCTAACTGTTCAAGTCATATCACCTACACAAATGACCACTTCCGACACACTCACACACACCCCTGGGCGTTTAAAAGAAAAAAATTATAAATGCACTGAAACTACCACTTTTCCCCTTTTCTCCCTGACAATGATGGTAGGTGGCCGTATTGGACAGTTTCGACTATTTTATTGAGTGTCTGTTTTTCTGGCTGTGTTCTTCACAGTCCAGATTTGGTCAAAGCAGCCTGTTTTCTGAGTGTTCTGAAGTGTGCCGATTTGTTATGTTTTGACGGGGAGGGGGGGGGGTAATCCCTGTCTCCTTTTTCTGTTACTGAGGACAAAGTTACTTTTACATGTAATGTAATAGTGCTTTATAAACTGACTTTTTGTCTACAGATTTTTTGTAGAACCTTGGTTTTGGCCTCTATGTGCCTACTACCACCATAGATATCTGATGATGAAGCAGCTAGATTTTCTTTGAGAAAAGAACAAAAAACAAACTCCTGTATTAGACTTTTCTAATTCTCTTTTGATTGTCTATGGTTATTTTGATGTACTTTTTTCGCCCCCAGCTTGAGTCCGCTGAGGAAGTCAAGTCCGCCCAAGAAACCATGTCCAAGTCAATATCCGACCTTCAGACGACCATACAAAAAATAAATGCTCCAAATATGAGGGCAATGGAAAAGTAAGTCTGCTTATTTGCAAACAGCATAGGGGGAAAATTTCATTAGGGGACAAAATAGAAGTGAGAATACTAACTCCGTTCATCTTCATTGTCAGCATCAGCTGTCAACATCATCGTTTTTGTCAGTATCATTAACATTGTCTGCTTCACCATCTCTACACCATGACAACAACCATTAGCTTACGTGTATGTCTTTTTCATCGTGAGAACTAACATTGTTGTTCACACTGCAATTCACTGATCGAATCTTAACCCCTCCTACTGAACATTTGCTTCTTTTTTTTAAACCGAAACAGCTGTTCTTTTGATATAAAGCTTTCATGTCCTTAGGCACAGGGGTTTTGGTTTCAACTGTAGATCCACATTACTGAAACTTTTTCTGACGAGACTCGGGTGGTTGATGGGTGCTCGTATTTGGTTTAGTCATCTTCCTGGGGTTTTTATTTTTACTGTTTTTATTTCCCCGATCAATTCTCAGACCCATCATCTTGGTTAGCAGGGTGTCCAGCAAGGTCGTAAGTCGTAAAAAAGACACAGGTCTAATTCTTCTTATACAAGTGTTACTGTTTTTGGTTGTTTTTAGAGAATTGTTGTGGGTGGTTGGCGGGTGCTCTGGTGTGGTTTGCTTCTTCTTTCCTATCAAACATCTATCATCCTTATCTCCCCTCCTTCTTTTTTATGTTTGTTACTTTCTTGTAACACCTCTAATTTTCTGGTGCTCATATGACCTTATGCAGTTGCAAGCGCCGTAAAACCTCTACTAAAACAAAAACAGGTACACTTATAGTATCCCTCATCTTTATTGATCTCAATTATGCCGATGCTCATGTAAAACACTTAAATCAATCCGGTGCCCAGAAAATTGTTTTTCTTATAACAGTCACCTATGATAAGCTTAAAATCGACTTGCGTTAGCATCTATATGGATAGTTCCCACTATCCTAGCGTCAGTGGTATGAAGGATAAGCTTTTTGCCTCAGACACAGTGAATAAGGGGGTTAATATTTTATCTGGTGTCTTTATTTTTCTAATAGAATGAATCCCACACATCCCATGTTGACCCTGACAGAAAGAGTCAAAGCTGCCCGTCTAAATGTACAAAATGTATTAATCTGAATGTACAAAATGTATTAATATGAATGTAAAAATGCTTACCATGTTGTGTATTATATAATGTCCACAGACTAGATGGAGTGAAAGAAAGGTTTCAAGAAACGTCAGAAGAATTTGAAAATGCGAGGCGGAGGGCGAAGTCAGCAAAGACCACATTTGAGAGGATCAGGAAGAAACGCTATGACACGTTCATGCATTGCTTCGACCACGTCTCCACAAAGATTGATGAAGTTTATAAGGTACTTTACAGAATCTTTTAGCTTTAGATTTGTCTTAAGATAAGATAGTGGGTGGTTGGGGGGTGCCACTTGTAGGTCCTACTTCTTTTCTTTCCTTCTGTTGTTTCTGTCTATCTGTCTTGCTTCTTCCCTGCACTATATGACCATTATTGTGTTGATGCACTTCTTTTTACTTAAACTCAAACTTCAGATAGATGTGCTTTATTCATTTTCCACAAGGTGACATTCATCACATCAATCGTCAGTGCTGTTTACCTGTGGCAGGGTGTAGGCCACGTACAAGTGATGTCCATCCTTTTTTGTTTGTTTTCCTGACAAACCCGGTTGTGTTCCATCTTCAACATATCCTTCTCCATGCTTTTCCATGTTTCTGGGAGTGTTGTCTTCTTGATCCATACAGGCAATTCTGAAATATTTTTACATCCAGAACATCAGCAGAGGAACCAATCACATTCAGATCACATCAATCTCTCTCTTCCAGTCCCCCATCTGTCTGTCTGTATTTCTCTTCCTGCCACCCTCCGTTAAGTTTTTTAAGCCTGGGGTGGGAGGTATATTATTTATATTACTTTCTAGTTATTTTACGAACCTGAGCAGTGTGTTCTGTTTTCTAAATCTGAGAATATGAAAACAGGTGATATGAACTGATCATTGTATATTCCATGTGTGTGTGTGTGTCTCCCTCAGTCGCTGGCCAGAAACCAGAGTGCCCAGGCTTTCCTTGGCCCGGAGAACCCCGAGGAACCGTACCTAGACGGGATCAACTACAACTGTGTGGCCCCTGGCAAGCGGTTCCGACCCATGGACAACTTGTCCGGTGGTGAGAAGACCGTGGCTGCCCTGGCGCTTCTTTTTTCCATCAACAGGTAATGTTACGTTTAAGGCGACCTGCCGACTACTCCGATAAAATCACAACCTTCTGAGATAAAATTAGAACCTTCTGATTTTTTTGTGTTCTTTGGAAGTCTCTTTCCATCGGACGTACTCAACTTATCGTAAATGACATGAAAATGCAGTTTTATTTGCAATATTTATGTAACTTACTGTAAATGACAGTACACACATGCATGCACGCAAGATCAAAAGCTCTCAAAAGACAAACGCGTGCACTTACATATTTTCCAACTCCCGGACACTCTTAATTTCTTTCAGCCACGCAATCTCTCCCCCAACACCACCCTCTCTTGTCCCCTCTCTCACTCATCCCCTCTCTCTGTCTTTGTCTGTCTCTCTCTTTCTCTCTCTCTTTCTAATTATAAAATTATCACAAGATCAGTAAAGACTTTATGATTATTTCATTCCCCTCTTTTTTTTGTCTTTGATGTGGTTAATACTTTTACAGCTTGATTTGTGTGACGGTTGATCGTAATAAATGGCCTTCTCATTCTCATCTTGTATTTTTTTGTTTTTCAGTTACCACCCATCCCCTTTCTTCGTGCTAGATGAGATCGATGCAGCGTTAGATAACACAAACATTGGAAAGGTAAATAAATAACTTCAGATGTTTTGTCTGGTTTGTTTCTTTATATTGAGGAACTTTCTCAGAGTCTTCCTTGTGTGTTGTTTACTTTACATGGAACGATTTCGTGCTCATTTCAGTGTGGTCTGCTCTCTCTATTTATTTGCTCTTTGTGTTTTGTAGTTGTTGTTTCTTGGTTTTTCTAAACCACATGTGTGGGTGGTTGGCAGGTTCTTTGGTGTTGTTTACTCCTTCTTTCCTATCAAGCATCTACTGTCCTCCTTATCTTTTCTCTTTCTCTTCTTTGTATGTGACTCTCTAGTAACACCTCTTATCTTGGGCACTTACATGACCTACTGTGTTGCACGTCCCATAAAATTGCTATAAAAAACTAAACTACATGTCCTCTGGAAGGATGGTATTGCTTGAGTATTGTTCTTTTAAACTTATTACTTTGGGTGAAGCAACCAGTTCACTGCCCTAAGCTGACAAAACGACTCTTTTCATTTTTTCCGCCCAATTTTTTTATTCGCTAAATCAATAGCCTGATCAGTTACCTTTTTTGTGTGTTAGAATGTCAAGGTGAAAGTGGCTAGTTTTTTAATATATTAAAATTCACAATTTCGGAAGAACGCCTTTTTTAAAATGGTTACAAAACTCCTTTTTATAAAACTGCTGTAACGAAAAAAGGCATTTTGGCAGTGCACGGCAGTTCGGTGGGGCAAGATTTTAAATTGTTACTGACGCGTTGATTGATTCTTTTCTAAAGTATTCTTGAATACTTTTGGTTTGGCTACTAATGTTTTATTGTAACACATCGGAGTTGGGTCAGCCAGTGCTGCCTTCGTCAAAAATTGTGCTTTTTGTTGTCACTGCATGATTGTAGAAAATTAAATCTCAAAGAGCACCATGAATGCATTATGGAGAGGATTATGTGTACTTGGTTCTTTTCTCCAGATATACTCAATGTACGGGTCTTTCACTGGTGTAAAAGTATTCCTCCATGTTTTTCTGAAGCTTCCATTTGCGGGATTGGTGTTGGACTGGACTTTGATTAGAAAACTCATGCTGGAATTCATTACATGAATGTGGATTTGTTTGTTCAGTTTTCCTGGTTCTCCACCCACTTAGCTCTGTGCTATCACTTTTTAAAAAACTCAAGGTGTTGAAAAGGGGTTTTAAGGCTTTCTTATCATACATTCTCTTATTTTCTTTTTGGTCGATTCTAGGTTGCAGCATACATCCGGGAACAGTCTGAGAAGAACTTTCAGTGCATCGTCATCTCTTTGAAAGAAGAGTTCTACAACCGAGCAGATGCCTTGATCGGAATCTATCCCGAGGTGAGCTGTGGTTCAACATTTCTGCTGATCCAAATTAAAAATGGTCTTGCACGCACGTAGCAAACAGACTGACTAAATTATATTATGTATGTGGGTACGGTACATTTTGGTATATGAAAGTGCAAGTTGGTGTTAATCTGATTGCATTGATATGATGCTATGTGTTCAAGTTTTTGTGTCACAGAAGCTTTTGTTATTATCTTCCAGTGAACATAATAAAAGTATAGTCGGGCATGGATAGCTCAGACACGTCAGGAATTGACAAATATGACACATCCATTAAACGGGTTAACTGATAAAGAAAAATGAAAAAAATATCAGTCGGGGAATGAGAAATTTTATGAGCTACCCGTCATTTCGTGTTCTTTTTTACCTTCTTTTTTGTTGTTGTTGTGGTGGCCATTTGTATAGAGTATCTGACCTCATTGTTTCCTAAAGTTTGCTGTGCATATTGTTATTAATATTATCAAGTAAATAGGCTACTTGTGCAGTGTGTTCTATTCGCGATGCAGAGACTCAGGATTGTATTGAACGAATAATTTATGTAACTGCGTATGTTTTGCAACCCCATCTGCACAATTTAAATTGCTTTATCTGCGACAAGACTTGGATTATGCCAGTTTGTTTTCAAAAGATTTTTGTGCTTACATTTGAGTACCGCTAGTCATGTATTGTCTTTGTGATATTCGGTTACTAACAGTTGTTTTTTATCATGTCTTTCCCCACCACCACCACCTTGATGACCGACCCTGGATGAGCAGCAAGGTGATTGTGTGATCAGCAACAGCCTCACCCTCGACCTGACGGAATACCCCGACCCCCACGCCCATGAACACGACGAGCACTACTTCCCTCACTGAATGATGACTATGTAGTGGAAGAAACGCTGTCTGTATTGGATTTTGTACATTATTTTTCTTCATCCCCCTCACTTTCTTTTCCTCACTAGTTCACTGTCTGGGATAATTTTACGCAAGATTGGCAGTACACACTCGCACAGTGGTTTAGATAATTGGAAAGGGTCAAATGATGTTTTATGAAGTCCAAAATTTTGATTGTTGATTGAAAAGGGCCAGTGATGTTTTATGAAGTCGTTGTTTCTTCTTAAGGTGTACGATTGTTTTAAAAAGTGACAGTCTAGAGAATAATTGTATGCATTCATGTGTTCTTTGCCAGGAAATAGTCAGGTTTTAATCAACATTTTGTAGTAGTAGCATCTAGAAAATGTCAAGTTTTCACTTCTTAAGTGACCCTTGGTCTTGTTCCAAGTGGCCTTTCCCCCACCCTCCTCCCATGCTGCAGTACCACAAAAAGGTGGTATCTACACTGTGGGAAAAGGTTGGAAGCCTTTCTGCCTGTCAAATGAAAAGCAACTGCTCAGTTTAAGACTCGGTCATTTAATTTTTTTTTTTTTTCAAAATGGCGTATGGTGGAATGGCAGTCGAAATACTGGCAGTACCTATCAACTTTCTATTCATCTGTATTATTTTCAGTGTTAAACTTGACAAATGATGGTCGTTTACTTTTGTGCCCTTCCAGTGTTAGTGTTCCACATAATCTCTCGTTTGTGTGTGTGTGTGTGTGTGTGTGTGGGGGAAGGCTCCTCTCATTGTAGATGTTACTCCCCATAGTTGTTGTGCATTCACAGTTCAGATATTATTTAGGTCTCTCATCAGGTTTTTCTCTCCAACTCCTGAATTCGACTGCCTCTTAAATAACCTAATAGTGTTGATGACAGGGGCGTTAAATCGAAACCCATTTCACCATTTTTCACCGGGATTTGTTGATTTGGAGAGATTTTTCTGTCTTTGGTGTTTCATGATTTTACTTTGTTCGTATGATAGTTCATACTGATTTGTTCCGAGAGATTTTCAATTATCAGTTAATCATACTGTTGCATTTTTTGTTCATTGGCTCATATTTGTTCATTTCAAAATTGTCATCTCCATAGTTCTAATTGTTCATGTACCAATGTACCAAATTAAAACTTAATTTACTTTATCGTACACACTTGTCTGTTCTTATTTTTAGTTTCCAGCACTGACTGCTATTAGAACCAAGTATACGGATCTGTTAAGCCTACATTCATTTATCTTTCCTTTGTGGGTGGTTGGGGGGTGCTTTGACCTGGTTTGCTCTTTGTTTCTGATGAAATGTCTATAGTCTTTATTTCTCCTCCTTTTTTGTGTTTTTACTGTCATGTAACTTCTCTGCCTCTAATCTTTGGCATGTATATGACCTAATTGTGTTCCAAGTGCTGGAAAATTCTTACTAAAATCATATTCTTCTTTGTCCCTCCATAAACAAAGAAGGTATTGCTGTGTCGTTGGGAGAGTTTTGAGTTTGGTACAAAGTGGTGTGTTTGTTGCTTACCCTCCATTCCCCAAGATCCCAGCTCACATTTCCAGAGTGCACATTTTGTTTTTGAGCCACTTACACTCATTCCACACATAAAAGACCTGCATGTGAGGTGCCAGAAAACATTAAACGCTTTAAAAACTTTATTGCACTCCGAATGAGGCGCTGACTCAAAAAACCTTCTCCATCTTTATTGAATTGTTCCCTTGTTCAATCCAGGCTTGACTACAGCTGTCAAGTCTATTCTATGAATCGGCAAAATCCCACATCCTAAAAATGCTAGACTCCGTATTTAACCAAAGACTCCGCCTCGCTCTGGGGGCTTTCTGCACTTCTCCGATGGAGAGCCGCCAGGCCGAGGCAAACAAACCAATTCATATGGGTGGTTGGCGGGTGTTCTGGTGTGGTTTGCTTCTTCTTTCCAATCAAACATCTATCGTCCTTATCTCCCCTTCTTCTTTTTTATGTTTGTTACTCTCTTGTAACACCTCTAATCTTCTGGCGCTCATATGACCTTATGCAGTTGCGAGCGCCGTAAAACCCTCTACTAAAACTAACTCTCCTCCTTTTTTGTGTTTGTTATTCACTTGTAACACCTCTAATCTTCGGCACTTATATGACCTAATTGTGTTGCAAGTGCCGTAAAACTCTTACTAAAACTAAAAACTAAGTCCTTGAGGATACCTCCAAAACTCAGACTTTTCCAAACAAGACTTTGAACAATTCCTTTTCCCTGCACTCCCTCCGTGGCATCTCACCAAGGCAAGAATAGACTTAGAGTTAGAGCTCACCACATACAATATATAGCGAGCACAAACACCAAAAAATTTAAAGCAGCATACAAAACACACGTTAAAAATACCCCAGTGCGGAGCTTATCTTCACAGATGGCTTTAAATCGGACTCAGCTGTGGCCCTGTCCTGTTACAGTACATTATACATACCTGAGGAGACTCCATCCCGAAACCTCCGTTTTCTCTTCGGAGGCTACTGCCATTGACATGGCATTGGACTCCGTTCAACATCCCCAAAATGTCTTTCCTTCTTCTGTCTGAATCTGTCTTGCCTCACCTCACTCACAAACTGCACACTCATACACCCAAAAAATAGTTAGGTTGCAACAAAAAATACACCCTTTGATTGAAACCACAAAAAGTAGCCTGTCAGCATGGCTACCTAGCCACGTCGGCATTCGGGGAAACGAGCAAGTCGATCTCCTGGCGAAGGAATCCCTGTCCCTTCTGTTGGGATCAACGAAGGACACTCTCCCTCAGACTAACTTTAAAAATAACGTTAAAAAAACTACACCTGCTCCAGGCACATTGGAGCAAACAAAAATCAACAACAAACTACAATATCACACCCAAACTGGGTCAATGAAAACTTCAAAGGCTCTCCAGAAAAGACGAAGTCATTTTTACCTGATTACGTATCGGACGCACGACCCTGACATACATTCTTCAAGGAGATGAGAAACCGCTCTGTGTCGGAAGCGGCGCAAATTTATTTCACCATTAAACACATCTTAACCAAATGTCCAGACTTTGGATTGACCCGAAGGAAGTATTTTAAATGCTCAAAATTAAAAGATATGTTCTCCGTCTTTGATCCCAACAGAATTCTTGATTTTATAAAGGCCATTGGCCTTTACTATAAACTGTTAATACCGTTGTTTAAAATGTTATCATTTTGAAACTGAGATTTTTACCACGAGTTTTTAACATTTGAATCGAAATATTGAATAAAATCAAGCCGTGCCGTGAATGCAGCCAACTTGTGTCCCGCGCGCTCATATGACCTTATGCAGTTGCGAGCGCAACAAATCGGGACTCGGAATTAAAAGACAAAACCAAACCAGAAGGGCACTTGTTGAGTCAGCAGTCTGTTATTCTTTGTTTGTCCGTGTATTAGGCTTCCTGCTACCGCTCTCTCAGGTACAATAAACTTTATGACTCCTGTAAACTAAGATTGGAGAGTTCATAGGGTGAAAGCTAGGCCTTCTCACTTCTCAGTTCCAAGGTGGGTGGTTGGCGGGTGCTCTGGTGTGGTTTGCTTCTTCCATCCTATAATAATATCCTATCAAGCATTTATCGTGTTAATCTCCCCTCCTTTTTTGTGTGTTTGTTACTCTCTTGTAACACCTCTAATCTTCGGCACTTATATGACCCTATTGTGTTGCAAGTGCCGTAAAACTCTTACTAAAACTATCAGTTCCAAGGGTTTGAGTGAGAGTTAGTCGTAGCGTAGACGCGGAGTAGGAAGGAAGTACACTAGAAACTTTTGTGTGTGCCTCATTTTAGTGAATAGTTCTTGATCTCTATGTTTGTTATAATTTTAAGTTTACCTTATATAGGTGGGTAGTTGGCGGGTGCTCTGGTGTGGTTTGCTCCTTCTTTCCTATCAAACATCTATCGTCCTTATCTCCCTTTTTTCTTTTTTATGTTTGTTACTGTACTCTCTTGTAACACCTCTAGTCTTCTGGCACTCATATGACCTTATGCTGTTGCGAGCGCCGTAAAACCTCTACTAAAACAAAACATACCTTATAGAACCCACACAAGGACGCCACAGTATTGCGCATTGCGGAATCAGATCTTGTGTTTCCGTGCAGAATTATATTATAGGCACTACTGGACTTCCATGTCAAATTTGGTGAGAAGAAGGGCAGAGGTACACATGTATTTATTTGAGTGTAATGTGCTCTGAGCACTGCCGCCGATATTAATAAAATGGAGTCGTTTTACACCCCCGCCGACATAATTTAGATGATTTCGGAGGCCGGCTTCAGACCCTGTCTGCTAAGGCCAACTCGAGCTGAAGGGGATATACCACCCCACCAGTAAGACTGAGGATATACTCAATAAGACATTCTCCCCATCTGAGAATCGAACTCGGGTCTCCTGCTGGAGACAGCAGAGCGCCTAACCGCTACAGCACAGACGCTGGTGGGTTATCAAATTTTAATGTAATGCAATGACACAATAAGGCAGGAGAGTATAAATTTTGATTTTGTTTGCACTGACTTCGCAATTAATCAGCAGGACCTGGTATAATATAGTGATCAAGAAAATCAGGCCCATTTGACCGATGAGTATCCACTTTTGCATGACTTTACTTTATGTTTGTTAAGAGATTGATTTTAATCTGACATAACACTTTGGACTTTGAAGGCGTGGTGGTGAAAACTCGGCCCCTTTTCCCGCGACACACACACACACACACACACACACACACACACACACACACATAGCTTTTGATTACTGAGGCAGTGAAGTTTGTTTGTCTATTTGTCTGTAGCACAGCGATACACACAGTCGGGAAAGGTAAATAGCTGTTCCCCCCCTCCTGTGAAGAGTCCACTACAGAAGGCCGAGCTGACGATAGTTTCACATTCATGTACTGGCGAGCGTTCTTTTACCTTTAGTTTAATAAACGGGGGGAGTTAATAAAGTTGTAATGGTACACATATCAGTTGATGTAGGCAAATAGAATTCACGTTCTGGAACATATTATTGCCTTTCTTAAACTTAAACAGCTAATTCCTACTCCTACACGATTTTAAAATGAGTTCATCTTTGCTAAAAAAATTTTTTTTTGCAACGCTCGCTTCGGGCTAAGATCGCCGTGATGCAGGAGATATGATCATGTGTGTGT